TGGCTGGCGGCGGGGGTGGGGGGCAGTTGGAGGTGATCACGCCGGCAGGCAGAGTGGTTAGGGGTGATCAGGCAGGCAGGCAAGTGAGCAGTTAGGAGCTGGACATCCACCAAGGGGTCCCAGATTGGAGAAGGTGCAGGCTGGGCTGAGGGACAAAACCTCCCCCGCTGCATGAATTTCGTGCACCGGGCCACTAGTATTTATATAGTCTTCTATCTTTCATATTTTCTTTCTGTCTGTATTGGCCAATTCTGACTTCTTTTGCTTCCTGACTTTGGGATCATTGTGGAACAGTTGAAATGCCCGGAGAAGGTTGTGTCTACCCAGCGAAGTCAATGTAGTCCCTGACACAGTTGTGCTTTGAGAGCATTTGCAGAGCCATTCCCCGGCATTGCCTTTTCTTCCTTGTGACTAGGCTCAGGGTCCAGGGAGCTGTCTGGAGCCAGGCAGAGCTAATAGGCCCTTTTGAATCATTGGGAGCAGAGAAGCTGCTTGATGCAGTGGCCTGGTTCTCCTCCAGAGCCGGATCCTGGAGGTCTCTGGTCTTATCACAGATGGCAGTAATTTGCCAATGGCAGACCCCTTCCTGTAAGCCAGATTAGAGTGAGTTCAATTCTGCGTGGCCATTATTTGCAGTATCCTTTCTTTGAGCCCCAGGCTATCTTGGATGTATTCTAAGCATTCAGCAGGTGGTTTATTCCAGCAAATCTTTTGCCCTCCCCAAATCAAAACACAGAAATACTAAAGATTCCTTAACTGTCTGTAGTTAGGGATTGTCTGTGCCAGTCTTTTCCTGCCCTTTCCTTATAGCAGCCAATCAAGTTTTACTGTTCTCACATTTGACTTGCTTACTTCCTTGTCACTCTTTTGACTACATTGACTTAAATGGAATTTAGTGTCTCTGAGAGGGTGCTTTTTGTTTTCTTTTTATTAGTTTGTGGATCTTTCATTAAAACTGCTAAGACTTCCTAGTGCTCCCCAAGCCTTTCTTGCTCACATACCTGCTCCTCTCACTGTTCTCATCACAAAGAAGTATCAGTGGGTATGGTTCTTTTATTCCTGTTTTAGTGGAAAGAACCTGGCTATAAGGATGGATAATATGAAGTTTGAGCCTGAAAAAGCCATCAATAACTGAAAGATACCAAAGCCACTAATATGTAAAATGTTTTTAAGGTGGACTGAGTTCCCAGAATGTCAGTTAAGGAAGACACTTGAGGTGTGGCCTGCATTGTCTGATGTGATGCCCCAGTTGTCTTTTTGTGTCTTTTCTGGTGCTACTGTCTTGAGAGGTGGAGCTACAGAGCTTGAAATGACCCCTAAAAAATACTGACCTGCCAGGTCCTTCAATACTCCCTCATAAAGGTACCAGAGGCAACATGGCATATTAAGCATGACACTAGCAGATGACTGTGTGCATTATTTTTCAGGAATACAAATTGAGGCACTTAAGTTCATCTGAACTTTGAGTCGAACCTTACTTTTTTATTGTTGTTTTCTCCTCTTAGTCTTCATCTCCCTTCTTCACATCGAGTTCCACCCACTTAGCAAACATGATTGACTCAGGCAGGTGAATTAAGCCATTACTGCACACTCTTTTCCTCTCCTGCCTCTCGGTATTACCCCTGAACTTGAATATTTTCACCTGAATGATTTAAATCAGTTTGCCGTTCCCATGTTGCTTTTCAAGCCTTTTTAATATCACATCCTCCTTCATTCAGCCCTTTGCTCAGGTTACCCTGTGAACACACTTCTGTTAGGATGGCTACAACCTGAGCGTGTGCAGAACAGGTATCCAGCCAGGTCAGGTTGGCCAGATTTGGGTATAACCCCCACAGAGAACATGCCCCAGAACGTGGCCTGCGGTGGAGTTAGTACATGGATCTGAATGCGGGGAGGTTGACACTATAGTCCTGGCTAGTTATAATCCAGCCTCACAGGAAGGAGCCAGTGGCCTACATTGCAGAACGTTTTTTGGTTCAAACAAGGAACATCTGATGGCCTGGGCTTTTAGTAAGGAAATGAAGTCCTGAGGTAAAGGATAGAGTGGTATAGGGAAAGCAGTTCAGCCTGGGGATTGGATGATGAAAATGCTGATCCCTGATGGTTGTAATCAATGACCTAACTTCTGTGGCCCTGTTTTCCTCACCTCTAAAATGACTTGGTGAGTTTCAGATTTGGCCATTTTTTTACTATACGGGACTAGGTGCGACTCCTCTTGAAACAAGTTTTCCCTGTAATATGTGTGACAGGCTATATCTTTCAGTGCAACAAAATACCGGTCATAACTGCTGCTGTGCAGTTTTTGCCTGTTTCTAGAAATTTCTGCTTCTTGAATAATGTGTATTGGCACATTTTTCTTTTTCTTTTCTTTTTCAAATAGAATGTTTACATTTGACTTGCTAATTCAGCTGTGACCTGTCCTGGAAATAAAAATTTCTGCCCAGTACCTACTGCTGGTTCATTTCACGGCACACTTTTAAGGAGTAAGGCCACAAATGGGCTCACGGACCACTTGCAGTGGGGTACTCTGGAGGCTGACGGAGAAACTCATCTTTGAATAGCTGTTCTTGGTGTAACACTCACATCTGTGGAAACATAACTGGGGGCATCTTATACATATTTAGACTCTTAATAAGTTGCCCAGAGAGTCTTAAAGGCCATTTTGGAATACTAGGCCATGCGATGGTGTTTTTGTTTTTTAATTTGTGTGCTGTGCCCAGAGTTATGATTTAAAGTGCTAATGCTTTGCCCAGCCAGCATGGCTCAATGGTTGAGCATCATCCTATGAGCCAGGAGGTCACGGTTTGATTCCCTGTCAGGGCACATGCCCGGGTTGTGGGCTCTATCCCCGGTGTGGGGCGGTCAGGGCACATGCCCGGGTTGTGGGCTCTATCCCGGGGCATGCATGAGTCAGCCAATCAATGATTCTCATCATTGATGTTTCTATCTTTTTCTCCCTCTCCCATCCTATCTGAAATGAATAAAGATATATATTTAAAAATATATATAAATAAGCCCCGCTGGCATGGCTCAGTGGTTGAGCATTGACCCTTAAACCAGGAGGTCATGGTTCGATTCCCGGTCAGGGCACATACCCGGGTTGCGTGATCGAATCCTCAGTAGAGGGTGTGCAGGAGGCAGCCGATCAATGATTCTCTCCCACCGTTGATGTTTCTATTTTCTATCTCTCTCTCTCCCTCTCCCTTCCTCTCTGAAATCAATAAAAATATATTTTAAAAGTATATATATATAAATAAATAAAGTGTTAATGCTTTTTGTAAAGTGATTTGCTTTAAGTACATTAAAGGTTGTACAAGTGTTGTTCCCTAGTTGTGCATTTACATATCCTGCCTCAGCTTAGTTTTTGTTTGAAAGTCTCTACAGCAACTCTTACGTAATATGTGTTGCTGGAAAGAAAGCTGGGCAATCCATTCTCCAACTTGATAGCTCATTTTGACACCTACCTTTGGTAATAACTTCTTCCTCTTTATAATCTGTCTCTTTACATTCCCCTGCCTCCACCCCTTGGTATCCCAGAGACAGGGAACCAGGCTAGCTTAGAGCCCATAGGTGTAGGGCGTGGAGCCATGTTTATAAACTAACAACTGAAATTTTGAAAATATGTATTAACTCATGTAATAATAATAACATCTGTTACATGTTTCCATTACATTTTTATGGAAAATACCTTTCCAAGAGAAAGTTTTTGACTTTCTAGTCACTTGTCTCTGTAGCAGGAATTTTAACCAGAGTTAGAAGAGGACAAGGAAAGTCATTTTGTTGGCAGGTGTGTTTTCTGGGGAGGCAGCTGTGACTGTCACCCTGGGAGAGTAGGGTCCCTGATTCCCCGCCCCAGAATACCAAAAGCCACTCTCTGTGGGCTCAGTTCTGAACTTGGGGTTCTGTTGGGGGCCTCCCACAGCACATTTTCAATCATTCTCTTCCCAACTTTTTCCCATACAACCCTAGATTGAACTGTAGAGTAACTCAGAGATGACCCAAGGAATAGTACTTTATATATATTTTTTAATTCATGTGTAATTAATTCCCCATTTTTAATTGGTTCACTCCCCTCAGCAGCTCCATTGAGGAAAGATGAGGCTCTGCGGAGAAGATGGTCAGGGATGGGAAGGTATTTGAGTTCGGTGGAGGGGAGCCAGGAGCTTTACCTTCCTTGGGGCAATGGGGAAGCAGTTCTTCCCCGAGCTGTCCCCTTTCTAGTGCCCACTCCTGTCCTGCTTCCAAGCTAGACGCTTGGTAGACCCTGGGTGCCTCCCATGAGATCTACTGCTCTGGGGCAGGCATCCCACCCTTGGTAACCTGTGTGGGTC